TCGGATCGGGACGGTGTCCTCGGGAATCAACTGTGAATCCTAGAAACTCCAACTCACTCACTCCAAACACACATTTGGACGGCTTGATAGCCACGTTTCTGGCGGCAAATCGTTCCAGTAGCTGCGTAAGACGGGCATCGTGTTCTTTCTTTTTCAGGCCGAAAATGAGGACGTCATCTTGATATGCAAGCACACCGTCAAGTCCTTTGACTACACTGTCTATTGCCGATTGAAAGAGGTCAGACGACTCATGCAATCCGAATAGGATAAAATTGTACTGATACATTCCCCACGGCGTGTTGATTGTTGTCAGGTAGCGAGATTCGACATCGAGTGGAATCTGTAGATATGCGTCGGCCAAATCAATCTTGGAAAAATACTGTCACCCATGCAATGACTTCATGAAATCCTCTGGTTCCATGGTGGTCACTGCACATCTCCGCAATCTGGGATTCAACGTTAGTCGATAGTCTCCACAGATCCGCGGTGTTCTACCATGGCTTTTCATCGCCACGACGATCGGGGTAGCCCAGGCACTGGATTCAACTTTGCCTATCACACCATCCTGTTCCATTGTGGTTATTCAGACCTACAAAATGACGCCTACCCTGGAGCGGTGCGTCACAGTTTTCGGACACATGCGATAAATCAAATGTGAATGCTGAAGTCAATGACACACGCACAGCATCCGACAACACGCCATAGGCAGATCGTGCCAGCCAATCCAAGACAGTGCAGACAGAAGCAAGATTTTGCAAGCAGTATTGCAATCCGATTGATGGAAGCCTAGATAACCAATAGTCTACTTTTGTACATATTATTTTATCGCCCTCATTTCTTTCAATCAACGAACTACGTATTACTATTCCTGTGGCCTTTTCCTCGCGTCTCGTTCACCTGGGATACTGCATGCCATTGCGGCCTAGTGCTTCCGTAATCCAGTCCGTGACAGCTAATCCTTGACTCGTTTCCGGTGATTCCTATTGCGTGGTTTGCATTCCGAATTCCGTGCGTACTACTACGACTATAAGATTTATTACATTCATTTTCTATAAAGCTTTCAGGACACCTTCCCTTTGACCCTATGGGAGAACGCGTTGTTTTAGGAAAACAGGTTCACTGTCCACTTCCAACTTTACCGACGGTACCTTCATGCCACCCAGGTCATCGGAACATTGTGCAATCAAATGTTGAAAATGTGAGGTGATTGGCATATCGTTGTTGGTATGTAGTGTGATTGATCCTTCTAGTAGCCACATTGCTCGCAGGCCCAGAATAGACGGACTGCGGGCTGATACCAGGAATCGGACTGGGATTGACACACCGGATTCCGATTGAACGCACAACACCTTTTCAACAAGTAATTGAAATTGATGGCCAGTAACCCCATGAATGCGTACAGAAATCGGGTCTAGAACAGTATTAGGACAAATCGCAGTGAGTGTTGATTTCGGTAGGTGTGGTAATCGGAATAGTATTGAATTTAGGAATACTGTACTGCTCAGAACTGAATTGGCTCCAACACGAACTGAGGACACCAATGAAATACACGAGGAATGGATAACAGCAAATGCTTATCTTTATTATTGGAATTAGATCATGTTTTATAGAATGTATCAGTAGATACGAGTGGTTGAACGAGCATCCTCTAATCACGTAACCGTTTCCACCGACGTATCATATGTTTTAACTCGGATGCCATGTTCACCCGGTTTACCATTCGTCGAGCTTCCTGAACGGTGATTGGATGACATAAAGCTGTACGTAGTCGTCCAGGGATTGCAGTTACGGAAGTCTGGAACACCACAACTCTCTTCCCTCAAGAGTTCCTCGTCAATCTGGCTCGCCTGACGTCTAGACCTGCATACTGCACTCGTTGGCTCCGCCTGTTCCTGGTGGTGTCCTTGTGTTTCGATTGGTTGTTTCTGCACATCTGACTAATGCGGCTCCGTCGGTTGTACTAATGGAGTAAACAACTGATTCTCTCCCACGCTTGTATG